TGTAGGCCTGTAGGTTTTCTCCTCCAGCTGGACTCTTTATCCCCAGAATCTGACGCTGGTAATCCTCAGTGGGGTTGGGGCTGCATTCTTTCTTCCTGCTTCCAGCAGTCAGGTCTCAGCTCAGGCCTTTGGCTGCCTGGAGGCAGGACTTGAACTCTTGCCAGGTTGTGAAGCCAGAGATGAGAGGCTTCTGTCTCTGAATCTCCTAAGTCTGCACCAGATATGGTGCCTGACATCCTCCCCGCCCATGTTTGGAGAGGAGCCCAGATGATCTGGGACAAGGGTTGGCCTGGCTCAGCTCAGCTGGCTGCGAACTCTCACGGTAAGTATATGCTTTTATCTGAACGCCCTTGTCTTGGAAGGGCAGGGTGGAGGTAAACTTGGGGCTCAGATTCCCCTTTAACCACCCCCCAACTTCCCCTGCAGACTGCCAAGAAGGTACTGAGACCTGAGAATTCAGTGCTCCTGCTGGAGCACCCTAAGCTGCACCCAGCTGGCCCAACCCGAGGTTTTGGATGGCTGCCCAGGCATGGAAGACACACCCAGACTGTGGGGATTGGCTGTCTCAGCCCATCCCAGCCCAGCCCAGCCTCCTAAGGCCTTCCCTAGGTCAGGGACCAGGGCCAAAGACCTCCCAGCAGAAGCGGAGAGCAGTTTCTGTGGGACAGGCTGTTCCCGACAAAAGGTGCCAGGCTGGGGGTGGCCAGGCTGGAGGGTCCTGGCCTGGAATGGGAAGGGGACTGCCCAAGGCTGGGGTGGCTACAAGCTGCTGGCATGGGAAACTGGTGGTTTCCTGGTAACTGAACTCCCAGCAAATTCCCAAGGATTCAGGCTAGGCCCTTCCGGACTCTAATCAGCCCATCTCTTTCCCTTTCCGTGTGGTTACCAGATCACTGGAGGCCACTTGGTTGTTGGTTTTGGTTGGGCCTTTCTGGACTTTAGATCTCAGCCCTTGTTTACCCACCTCTGAGCCCTCCCTGCTCTGCCCCCAGTAGTTCCTTCTCCACTGTCCCTGGAGCTCTTCCCTGGGCCTCAGGACCTCACCTTCCATCCCCTCTGCCCTGCAGGATGTCACTGCTGAGCCTGCCCTGGCTGGGCCTGGGACCGGTGGCAACGTCCCCAGGGCTGCTCCTGATGCTGGTTGTGGGCTCCTGGCTCCTTGCCCGCGTCCTGGCCTGGACCTACGCCTTCTATGACAACTGCCGCCGGCTTCAGTGCTTCCCGCAGCCCCCAAAACGGCACTGGTTTTGGGGCCACCTGGGCCTGGTGAGTGTGACAGCAAAATGTGTCTGGGGTCTCAGGGTGGACAGATTTCCAGAAGAGCAGGAATGGCGCTCAGGGAGGTTGGTATTGATGGTGTCTGGGGCGTGGGACCCCAGAGAAGCAAGGGCAATGGTTCACTCATTCCTCTGCCCACTCACTCATTCCTCTCCTGACTCACTCATCCCTCTACCCACTCACTCATTCCTCTCCTGACTCACTCATCCCTCTACCCACTCACTCATCCCTCTACCCACTCACTCATCCCTCTACCTACTCAGTCATTCCTCTCCTCACTCGCTCATTCCTCTCCTCACTCGCTCATTCCTCTCCTCACTCGCTCATTCCTCTCCTCACTCGCTCATTCCTCTCCTCACTCACTCATTCTTCTCCTCACTCACTCATTCCTCTACCCACTCATTCCCCTACCCACTCACTCATTCCTCTACTCACTCACTCATTCCTCTACCCACTCACTCATTCCTCTCCTCACTTGCTCATTCCTCTCCTCACTCGCTCAATCCTCTCCTCACTCGCTCATTCCTCTCCTCACTCGCTCATTCCTCTCCTCGCTCACTCATTCCTCTACCCGCTCGCTCATTCTTCTCCTCGCTCACTCGTTCCTCTCCTCGCTCACTCGTTCCTCTCCTCGCTCACTCGTTCCTCTCCTCGCTCACTCATTCCTCCTCACTCACTCATTCCTCTCCTCACTCGCTCATTCCTCTCCTCACTCGCTCAATCCTCTCGTCACTCGCTCATTCCTCTCCTCGCTCACTCATTCCTCTCCTCGCTCACTCATTCCTCTCCTCGCTCACTCATTCCTCTACCCGCTCGCTCATTCTTCTCCTCGCTCATTCCTCTCCTCACTCACTCATTCTTCTCCTCATTCACTCATTCTTCTACCCGCTCACTCATTCCTCTCCTCGCTCACTCGTTCCTCTCTTCGCTCACTCATTCTTCTCCTCAATCACTGATTCCTCTACCCACGGACTCATTGTTCTCCTCTTTCATTCATTCCTCTGCAGTTCCATCCCAATCCTTTCTCACCTCCCTGTCCTTCCACCTCAGCCTGCTTGGATCCTTTTCCTGCCTGTCTTCCCTACACTACTGCACCTCCCAGAGGCTCCTGCATGGGTGTGGGGTGCACAGAGCAGGGCTCTCCTGGCATTCCCACCTTCTCCTCTGCTGGACTTGAGGCCTCCTGAACCCATTATACAGAGGCTGCTCCCTGACTGGCCTATTTGCTTGTATCTGCCCATCTCTGGGCTGCTGCTTTCCCACAGGAATTAGCTCTGACTTCCTTCCCCATGGAAGGACACAGCAGGACCAGAAGAAAGCACAGGCAGTCTCCCACCCCATCCCCTTCCAGGGGCAATGTGCTCTTCCCCACTAAGATGTCCAAATGAGCCCTGTAGCACAACCTGGATATGATTTTCCCACTCCCTTCCCCTTTCAGAAGCCGTCCTTGATACTCCCAAACCTTGCCCTCTGACTTGGACCAGCCCTCCCCTTTGGGGAATGTGGCCTCCATCTGCTCACTTACAAATAGCAGGATTGATGGGCGTGTCCACATGTCCACAGGAGGTGCTAGCACAGAGCCTGGCGTAAGGGAGGCTCTCCCAGGTGGGAGCTGCCATCCTGATGGACCTTAGAGACACCTCTGCTCCCCCGGGGGTTGCTGAGAACGGAGGACCCTCAGCATGCAGACAGTTTATCTGTGGGAGGAACCAGTGCCCATGTGGACCAGCCAGGACACAAAAGGATGTGGGAACCAGCCCTAGGGATATGTCCTGAGGCCACACTGCTGCCCCAAACCTCCTCCCATGGGGACCTTCCCATATAGCAATGCCCAGACTGAAATCATTTCCAGGACAAGAAAACACATCCTCTTGAGCAGACAGCTCGTCTTTTCCCTCTGCTTTGGTGTTTACCCTCGGATCCTGGGACAGCCCCAAGAGAGAAGGAGCAGAGGTCAGCAGAAATCCCCTGCAGCTGTTCAGAATCCAGACATGCTGCTCACTGCAGACGCTGCCCCACATCCGGTGGCTGCAGGGGGACTTGTGACTCCTTCTAGGGCAGAGCATTATTCAAGGTTCTTCCTAGAAACGGAATCTCCTTAGAAACAGATAGGGTGTTTCTTCTTACCTCTAGTGCATGTATGTATGGAGACAGAGACAGAGAGATAAGAATTTATTATGGGAATTTGATAATGTGATGATGGAGGCCAAGAATTCCCATGATATACCATCTGCAAGTCAGAAACCAGTGATGCTGGTGGTGTAAATTCAGCCACAGTCCAGAAAGGCCTGAGTATCTGGAGTTCTCAGGGCAGGAGAAGACGGATGTCCCAGCTGCAGAAGAGTGAGCAAGTTCTTCCTTTCCTCTGCCTTTCTGTCCTGTTCATGCCCTCAATGGATTGGATAGGGTATGGGGTCTCAGGGTAGATGGACTTCCAGAGGGGTGGAACTTCCAGTAGGGGTTCAGGGAGCTGGGTATTCATGGTGGCTGGGGTCTGGGACCCCAGAGAAGCAAGGGAGATGGCTCAATCATTTCTCTGCTCACTCATTCCTCTCCTCACTCACTCAATCGTCTTCTCACTCACTCATTCCTCTCCTCACTCACTCATTCCTCTCCTCACTCACTCATTTCAACACCCACTCACTCATTCCTCTCCTCACTCACTCAATCGTCTCCTCACTCATTCCTCTGCCCATTCACTCATTCCTCTACTCACTCACGCATTTCACTCCTCAATCACTCATTCCTCTCCTCAATCACTCATTCCTCTACCCACTCACTCATTCCTCTCCTCACTCATTCCTCTGCCCATTCACTCACTCCTCTACCACACACTCATTCCTCTCCTCACTCACTCATTCCTCTGCCCTTTCACTCATTCCTCTACCCACTCATTCCTCTCCTCACTGACTCGTTCATCTACCCACTCACTCATTTCAACACCCACTCACTCACTCATTCCTCTCCTCAGTCACTCATTCCTCTCCTCACTCACTCATTCCTCTCCTCACTCACTCATTCCTCTCCTCACTCACTCTTTCATCTACCCACTCACTCATTCCTCTCCTCACTCACTCATTCCTCTCCTCACGCACTCACACTCATTCCTCTCCTCACTCACTCCTTCCTCTACCCACTCACTCATTCCTCTCCTCACTCACTCATTCATCTACCCACTCACTCGTTCCTCTCCTCACTCACTCATTCCTCTCCTCACTCACTCATTCCTCTCCTCACGCACTCACACTCATTCCTCTCCTCACTCACTCCTTCCTCTACCCACTCACTGATTCCTCTCCTCACTCACTCATTCATCTACCCACTCACTCGTTCCTCTCCTCACTCATTCATTCCTCTCCTCACTCACTCATTCCTCTGCTCACTCACTCATTCCTCTCCTCACTGACTCTTTTCCTCACTCACTCATTCCTCTCCTCACTCACTTATTCCTCTCCTCACTGACTCTTTTCCTCACTCACTCATTCCTCTCCTCACTCACTCATTCTTCTCCTCACTCACTCATTCCTCTGCACCTACTATTCCCATCCTGCTTACCTTCAAATGCTAATCTCTTCTCAAACACCCTCACAGACACACACAGCAATAATGTTTGACTGGCTATCTGGGCATCCGTAGCCCAGTCTAGTGGACACCTAGAATTAACCATCACAGGAGTTGACGGCCCCCTGACTTGCTTTCAGATCACTCCTACAGAGGAGGGCTTGAAGAACTTGACCCAGATATCGGCCACCTATTCCCAGGGGTTTATGACATGGATGGGTCCCATCATCCCCTTCATCGTTTTATGCCACCCTGACACCATTCGGTCTATCACCAATGCCTCAGGTACCCATGCGGAGTTTGTGGTGGTGGGTGCCAGGCCAAGCCTCTGTGTGGTCCCTGCAGTACCCAGGCCCCTCCTTGAGTATTCATGCCCCTCATTGAGACTTCCATCTCAACGTCTTCTCCCTCCATTGCCATCTGTTCCCTGCCTTCGTGTTCTGGGCACCACTGGGGCCTCAAGACGCCTCAATTCAGGGCCCTTTCTTGAAGGAACCCCCATGCTTGAGGAGATGGGTCTAGACAGAGACATTTCCAGCTTCATGGGGTCAGGAATGGGCAAGAGAGAGATGGATGTGACAACCTAGAGGAGAACTGGGTGTCTGATGGGGCAGGCTGGAATGTTTCCTGGAGGAGGAGTTGTTGGAGCTGAGTCTGGACCAATAAGTGGGATGTTTTTAAAGTGTGTGGCAGGAAGATGCAGTGGGCATCATTGGTATTTGGGGGTCCAGCCAGTCCTGGCACCAGCCTTGTCCATCCCTCAGCCCAGAGCGGTAGGAGGACTTGTGGCTGGCGGAGAATCTGGGCTGTTATTTATGTGACGTCCACCTATGATGGGTCTGTTCCTTCTACCACATCTTGTCACTCATCCACCTAACAATCACTGCCCTCCTCCTGCAGGCTTCAGGATTCTCCAATAGGAGAATCCACACCAGTTGCTTGATCTCCCCTTGCTCTTTGCTCTTCTCATCCTTGGACACACCAGGCTGAGCAAGGGAAGTGGCAGCATCCCACAGAAACTATGGCTCTGACCCCAAAATCCTTAGTGACTCTGTGCAGATCACCAGCTCTCTCTGGCTGCTGAGGTCTCTTTCAGTTGTGAGTGATGGAAACTCAACTTTGTGTGCTCTAAGCAAATAAAGAGAATCAAAGGAGTGTAAAGTCCAGGGACGGTGGTCTTCAGGCATGGCTGAAACCAAGTGTCAATGAACATCATCAGGAATCTGTCTCCTTTTCTTAATTTCACCATTTCTCTGCATCAATTTTTCTTTTAAGGCAGTCTTTCTTTATGGTGTCAACCATGGGTCCCAGCAGCTTAGTTCTTGTCAGAAAGCTCACCTTTCCCCCAGGAGTCCCATAAACAGCCTATAGTTTCAATATTATACCTGGTTGTATCCTTTCTGTTTAACCTGGGATCATATGGGGAAGTCATCATGTGTGTGGCTCAGCTTTGGCCAAGGACACTTGGGGTATGTCAGAGACTTTCTGGTTCTTCTCTGACATGTGATTTGAAATTGTCTTTTCTCCTCCTTGTCACCTCTTCGCCACGTTTGTAGCTTGTCCAAGGTCTGGGAGCTAGGGTCTCTTTGGAATTGTCAGAGTCCTTATTTTAGTCTTCCTGAGCCAGGTTTCAAAATCCATTCCTATTATGCTTGAAGAAACGCCTTGGTTACACCTGGGACATGTCTGGGGCATTTAAGAAATCATATTTAAACCCTATCTGGGGCTTGTCTGTGGGGTACACAGAGGTCATGTCAGACTATCTCAGGTCCATGTCAGGAGATGACAGAGAGTGCTGGGGCAGACAGGGTGTCCTGGGCTCCTTTAAAGGTATTTTGTAGAGTGTGGAGCTGTGCTCGGTTGTTGCAGAACATGTCGGGACATACAGGAGCCATGTCAAGGAGTGCTGGGCTGTGCTATGCCCCGTTAGGTTGTGTCATTTGCAACTGTGCTGTTGCAGCCTGGGCTGGTCCTTCTTCCTCTATCCTCCCTTCGTCTTCTGCCCTTGGCCCCCTTCCCACTATGCTGGGCATGGAGTGGGGAAAGTGCTGGTAGGGAGCCTTGCCCTACACCTGAAGTTTCTCTCTTGCCCTCCACATGGCCCCTGATGGTCCTCATTCATGCCAGCTGCCATTGCACCCAAGGATGATCTCTCCATCAGGTTTCTGAAGCCCTGGCTGGGTGAGTACCTGCAGGTGAAAGGGGTTGGGGACGACCTTGGGCAGGCGTGGGGGAAAGTGCTGCTCTTGCCCACTGTCCTCGGCTGCCCTACTAGGAGAAGGGATAGTGCTGAGTGGCGGTGACAAATGGAGCCACCACCGTCGGATGCTGACACCCGCCTTCCATTTCAACATCCTGAAGCCCTATATAAAGATCTTCAACAAGAGTGCGACCATTATGCTTGTGAGTCCCTTGAACTCTGGGTCCCAGCTGGAGTCTTGGGGTGGAGGAACCATGGACAGATCTGGTCTGGAATTTTGGCTCTTCTGGATGACATTGGGCCATTGCTCTTCCTTTCTGAACCTTAGTTTCCTCATCTTAAAATGGGGAGGATAATCCCTACTTAAAAGGTCGTTTACTTGGCACGTAGTAGGTTCTCAGAAGGTGTCAATTTCTGTGTTTTTCTCACAGAATCCCTGTAAACTCAAGAGAGTAAAAGTGAAGATTGCGTAGTAGTCATTGCTGAGTACAAACCACTTCAGAACTCACTGGCTTAGAGCAAAAAGGGTTTACAATTTCTAACGAGTCTGTGAGACAGCTGGCCAGTTCTTCTGGATGTGGAAGGGATCACTCTTGGCACATGAGAAGCTGTGGGTCACGTGGGCAGCTTTGCTGATCCTGGCTTAGTTCATTCACATGTTTGGGGCTTCACTAGCTTCAGGCTGATCTGGGATGGCCTCAGCTGTGACACCTGGACGTCCCCCATGTGATTCTCTGCCTCCAGAAGGCACCCTGTTGCTCACATGGCAGAGACTGGGTTCCGAGTAACTGAGAGGAGGCTGCAATGTCTATGGACATTGTCTCTGCAGTGCTTCAAAGTTCAACCAAGTTTGGGTCTATTAGAGTTACTATGCCATCATTTCACCACACTGTATTGGCCAAAGAAACTCAAAAGTCCAGTACAGACTGAAAGGGGTGTAAAATAGAATGCATCTCTTAATGGGAGTTGCTGAAAAATTACTGTGCAAAGGGTGTGAATACAGGGAGAAGTGAAGAATTGGGGGTCAGGATTTTGTGAAGTGTCTGGGACTTTTTTAAATATGCAAGCTGATAAGTTGGCTCGTTACTGTTTCATGGATTCTAACACAAGACACAAGACTCCCGGGTCAGAGACAAAGGGTAGTTGATTACTAATGGCACAATAAGTGACATGTACTTCTTGTTGGTTTGTATCCTTTTTCTGAGTCAACCTAAATTCCATGGGGGTGACACTGGTGGGCCTCTATAGTAGTCTGCTCATGCAGTACATTGTATGACAATGGGCATTAGGCTTAGGGAATCTGCCTTAAAAGTGGCAAATACAAGCCTGATACTGGTACAGGGGGAGTCACTGTCTTGTCTCTCCAGGTTGTTTTCTGGAAACACAACTCTGAGAAATGGCTCAAGTAAGAACATCACGGTCTTGCATTGGTGGCACACCCAGCAAGGATGCGCAGGGCTGATGAAGAAGTGCCTCTTCCAACACAGGGATATTTTTGAAATAAATTTATTACAATGGAGATGAATAAAGCAAACATTTACTGGGCACTCATCCTATACCTGAAAAAATGTCATGTCCCAATGCCAGGATATAAGTTGTCTAATTTAATTTTAATAACTCTGTTAGGTTATGGTTATTTTTGTCCTATTGCAGATGACGAACTGAGGGCCAGAGAGATTAGAGAGCTGGACACAGTTCAACCAGCCAGGAAGTGAGCTAGGAGTGGTGGAGCAGAGATTCTATCCTGGTTTATCTGGCCCCAAAGCAGATCATCTTGATCTTATTGAATATTTGACAGGTGGGACCTAGACGAGTGCAATAGGTTGACCAAGGGCACATAGAGCACAGGAGACACAGCTGAGACTTAAATGCTGGTCTCTTGACTCCAAGCCATGGGTCTTCATCTCCTAATACAAACAGCTTCTGCTCTCATCCAAGTCTGGTTCTTGCTGGCAATGGGTTCCTGGGGCAAAGGATCAGCAGGCTGGTTGTGGGAGAGTCCTTCCTGATGTTTGGGGCTGGGGAGGAGCACAAAGGAGGCAGGGCCCAGCTCTAGCTCTCTTCACTTCTCTGGCCAGGACAAGTGGCAGCACCTGGCCTCAGAGGGCAGCAGTCGTCTGGACATGTTTGAGCACATCAGCCTGATGACCTTGGACAGTCTGCAGAAATGCATCTTCAGCTTTGACAGCCATTGTCAGGAGTGAGTTCCTTCCCAGGGCCTGGGGTGTGAATCCACGGACCAAAGGGAGTAAGTTGGGGAGGGAGGAATGAGCAAAGTAACCAGAAGTACCTTTCTGGAGGATTTGTATCAGCTGTGCTTTGAAGGTCGAGGAAGAGAAGAAAGTGTTGTCTTTACAGGTAGGTAGAAATATTTGGGCAAAAGCAAGAAGGTTAGGATGAGCCAAGCATGTGCAAGAGACAGTAGAAATGAGGTTGTGGAAGTAGGGGCTAGATATTAAGGACACTGAAAATCAGGAACAGTGGTATGAAGTTTATAAAGAGATTTCCGGAGAGCTTTTGTAATTTCAGCTGATGATGAATGTGGTAAGAGTTGAGCTGTGTGGGAAACTGATAGCCCGTCACCACGTCCAGGTAATTTCTGTCTTTTTAGTAGAGAGGGGATTCGTCATGTTGTCCAGGCTGGTCTTGAATTCCTGACCTCAGGTGATCTGCCCTCTTTGGCCTCAGAAAGTGTTGAGATTACAGGAGTGAGCCACTGTGCCTGGCTGCTCCTTCTTTCTTACATGGTGAAAGAGAGAGAGGGAGAAAGAGAGAAGAGAGACAGTTGGTTATTGGGGTGGGGGAAGGGTAGCTGGAGCAGGGATGAATTGGAAGAGGATGAAGTCTGAGTTGTGTGGACACTTTTGGTAAGGAAAATGATCAGTACTGGATACTGGGTGGGAGAGAGAGGAGAGAAACATGGTGTCCAAGCTGCACTCTAGGTGCCTAGGTGCATGGAGACTGCTCTCTCAGAGATAAGACGCAGGGAGAGAAGACAGTCTGGAGAGTCAATCTCATGACTGATACCCACCATGTATCTCTAGGACTATCTGTTTCTAGATACTCAGTTTCCTGATGGGAGGTAGCTCCTGGCTGCTGGTGGGAGGTGTTCCTAGGGCTTTGCATATGTTACATTGTTGCCTCCCTTTCTGCCCTTGGCCTGCAGGAGGCCCAGTGAATATATTGCCACCATCTTGGAGCTCAGTGCCCTTGTAGATAAAAGAAGCCAGCATATCCTCCAGTACATGGACTTTGTGTATTACCTCACCCAAGACGGGCGGCGCTTCCGCAGGGCGTGCCGCCTGGTGCACGACTTCACAGACGCCGTCATCCAGGAGCGGCGCCGCACCCTCCCCACTCAAGGTATTGATGATTTCCTCAAGGACAAAGCCAAGTCCAAGACTCTGGATTTCATTGATGTGCTTCTGCTGAGCAAGGTGGGTTTCTCTACGATCTGAATTTAAGTGAGAGAATAGAGCTTGATGTCAAATGTCAGGTGAAATAAATTGGTCTTGATCCAAAGGGCACTGGGAGCCATGGAAGATGCTGGAGAAAGGGAAGGTCACAGACAGGTTTTAGAGATGACTTTATTGCATGCAGCTCACGGGGCACTGTTAATTTTGAAACTGTGAAGAGCCTGAGATTTTACTTGACTTACAAGTTAGTGTGTTAGTCTTTCACATTTTTATGTATATCTATATGTTTATGTCTATGTCTATATCTATGATGACAGATGCACCAAACTCCTGGATCATAGCAGCCCATTAGCTATTTACAGCAATAACATCAGGCAGAGTAGGATTGTAGTGCTGGCTCTCCATTCCTAGGGCAACACAATGTTTTTACCTGTAAATGCACAAGAATTTGCACCATAGGAGAGGGGCCCCCCCATGATGAGTCTTATATCTTATATAGGACAGCTAGCTCATACGCTTCTTCTTTCTTACAGGGTGAAAGTTGAGACAGAGAGAGAGAGACAGAGAGAGAGAAAGAGAGAGAGAGAGAATGCTTTGTTCTGGAGTATAAACTACTCCTCTACTGTGAGATGGCAATTTCTATAGTTTTATAACCCTAATATCTTCTGGAAAGATAAGACTCTCTGAGTTGACCACTCTAGAATGTGAGCAAATATTTTTGGAGCAATACATAATTTCTAACCTCCAACGCAAATTGCCATTCAAATATCCTGTACCCCAGGTTGCCAGTATCTTTTTCTCTGAAAGTCTGTATTATGCAGAAAAAGAAAACATTTGAGAGCTATTGATTCCTGCCACCAGGGTCCAAAGAGGAGGCAAAGGAGCTGGGGGAAGCCCTTGGAGTTGGGGCTCTGGTGACGGTGAACAAGAGAGATCTAGATGTGCAGAGTGGATTTGAGTTTCTGGAAGAAGATCAGAGCTTCAGAGATTATCTCAGGTTAGACTTTGAAGTCTCAGAGATAGTATAATTTGTGTGTGTGTGTGTATGTGTGTATCTTGCTTTCTCTTCAGGATGAAGATGGAAAGGCGTTGTCAGATGAGGATATAAGAGCAGAGGCTGACACCTTCATGTTTGCAGGTGAGGGTCCCAGTGAGGGTCCTACAGTGGGGACAGAGGTCCCTTCATCTCAGGATCCGGGTGGGTGGACCCTGGATCACTCCATTCTGCCCATCTTCCCCCTCCCTCCATCCTCCTGAGGGCCTCAATCTCTGGGCGCTGTCCACCCCTGGTGCTGAAGTCAAGCTTACCTGGCTGCTCCTCAGGCCATGACACCACGGCCAGTGGTCTCTCCTGGGTCCTGTACAACCTTGCGAGGCACCCAGAATACCAGGAGCGCTGCCGACAGGAGGTGCAAGAGCTTCTGAAGGATCGCGATCCTAAAGAGATTGAATGGTGAGTGCAGGTTCTTCCGGCCTGTTCCTGAGCCCATCATTTGTTCTGCTCCCCAAGTGAGGAGGGGTGGTGGAGTTGTTCTGTTGATTCTTCCACTATTACATAGTGAGTATAAAAGCAGAGGACAACAGGCAGGGCTTGATACCTAGCCTGGCTGTCAGGGGAAAGGTTGCAGGCCTGTAGGACCGAGAGACCCGGGCTGCTGAGAGAATTGGTGACAGTATGTGAGGAGAGATTATGCCACTTTGCACATGTTCAACAAATGAACTTTCCCTCCACTCTCTTTCTTTTCTCCAAGAAATATCATATTGTTCGAACATCCTCACTTCTTGAATGTTTGCTCAGCTGGTGAAGGGGAAGTTGTTTTTGTCAATTCTTCCATTATTGCCTAGCAGTACTAGTAGTAGAGCCCAGAGGCAGAAGTTGGTATCTAGCCTGGCTAGCAGGGGAAAATTTTCAGGCTTTTGGGACAGAGTGTCCTAGTCTGCTGAGAGAACTAGTGACAATATATGAAGGCAAATGATGACACCTAGACATGTTCAATCAATGAATTTTACCTTCACTTCTTTCTTGTTTTCTCTGAATTAGCATTTTTTTGAACATCTTTACTTCCTGAAAGTTTGCCCTTTTGTTCACTAATTCCCACCCTCCAGTCCAGTCCAGGGAGTTGTAAGGAAGACCTGGGGGTAAAAGTCATGTATCTTTGTCTAGAACACCTGCATCATTCATCCATTCAGTCTACATTCAGCAAACTCTTCCATACACGTTTCCAATCCCAGTTCTGTTCCCAGCACCTTTCTGTGCTCTGGAGACCTGGAAAGAACCCTGCCTATGGATGTGTCTTCCAGGTACTCTCAGCCTAGTGGGAACAGTCCCAGTGCAAGACATTCCCAGTCCACATGGGCAAGGATGGAGTTGAGAGCAAGAGAAGCATGGCTGGGAGTGTAGAAAGTGTTTCAAGCCAGATGTGTTGGCTGTCGCTTGTGATACCAAGTACCAAGGAGGCTGAAGTGGGAGAATCACTTGAGGTCAGGTTTAAGATCAACCTGGACAATGCAGAAAGAACCCATTTCTAAAAAAAGTAAAAAACCAAAATAATAAAGTGCAACTGAAACCCTGAATAATGATCAGTAGATGTTTGGATGCTGTAGTGCTCTAGGTGAAAAAGACAACCCGGGCAAAAATGCAGAAAGGGGTAGTAGGAGAGAGGGAGAAGAGGGAAAGAGAGGTTTGTGCATTGGGGGAGGGAGATGGTCATAAAGGGAGAAAGAAGTAAGAGGGAGGGAAAGTGAGGGAGAGCAAGATAAAGAGAGGAGGGAAGAGAGAAGAAGACACAGAGAGAATGAGAGAGGAAGGAACTGAGTTATGATGAGATAATAACCATGGCAGTGAAAGCAGAGTCCGGCTGTGGAAGGCATGGGAAAATGGTAATGGCTTCCATTTTAACCCAAAGGCAATGGGGAGCCGTAACAAGTGGTTGAGCAGGGGAGTGACAGGTCATATCTGGGCACCAGAAAAATGTTTTCAGGGCTACTGTGGATAGAGGACAAGCTGTAGAATGAAGTCCCAGTGAAGATATTCTGGGACCCGAGCCAGGCCAGGGGCTGGGGATGGAGAGGAGGCAATGGACTAGACAGGTGTTTTGGAGGCAGTGTCCTCCCGTCCAAACCTTTGCTCAGCACAGCAGTCTTAAAAGGTGGCAATACTTTTTGTGCTTTTAAAAACCAAGATATCAAATAATACTGCACACTTTGTAAAAAAAAAATTCCAAAAATTTATAAAAATGAGCTTTCTTCTTAAGTCTCACCCTAGTAGTTTCTACTAGCAATGGTTTTGTGTGTGTCCCTCCAGAAAACGGCTATCCTGATGCCCACTTTACATGAACACACACTTTTTCTATACAAATAAGAGTGTATAAAATAGACACCATATTTTTTCCCAAGATGGTGGATTGGAGGCAATGTCAGTGTGCCTCTCCCATGTGGAAGGACAGAATAGCGTGTAGAGATTCACACTGTGAACTTTCTTTTCCCAAGAAACAACACGGGGACTTAACAGGAAAACCAAAAGAATCCACAGACCCTTCAATAGAAGCTGCAGTTTGCATCCTACTCTGTAAGACAGGTGAAAACCTGTAAATCCACAGAGGGTGAGAGGGGGAGAGACTGCCTCGAGGATACACATCTTCACTGAGGAATCTGAAATTCCAGACCACAGGGGAAGGCCTTAACTCTACCCAGGGCTTGAACTGATTTAAGGAGTGGTGAGAAATATAAAAGTAGAAGCAGCAGTAGGAAGTGCCTTTCAGGCATTCCCAATCTCCAGCATGGACTGCGGGAAGTCATTCCTTATTGTATCTCACAGGAGGCCTTGGGGAAGTCAGACAACTAGCTCAGGCAGGGGTCACAGGTTGAACGAAATGCCCAACTGAATTTCTTGATAAAACCTCGAGTGGGAATGAACTCCCTTGAACAGAACCTAGAAGGCAAGCAGGAAGTGTGCTGTAGACAGGAGTTCAGGAGCTGGGTGCCTGGCCTTGGACAGGGACAAAAAATGGCATGGCCTGAAAGCATTGCTATTTCTGTGGGAAAAGCTTATGGCCTGTGGCAGGTCTTAGTTCTGTTCACAGACTGCCTGGATCTAAATCCAGCGCTATGAGTGGAACACTGCTATGAGTGACACCCACCTTGTGCCAACTGCATGGGAGCTGGATGAGGCTTACTGCCACCTGCTACTCTCCACTCCTTTGGCAAACTCTTCTGTGAGGCAGAGGAAGTTATACTCACCTCTGGAACATTACCCCAGTGACCTGAGAACTGCCTTCTGACTCTCACAGAGCAAAACAAACAAACAAAAAAAACAGTTGCAAAAAAAACCAAAAAACAAAAAACAAAACCTAGGAATATACTTAATCAAGGAGGTTAAAGCTCTCTACAAGGAGAACTACAAAGCAGTGCTGGACAAAACCATAGATGACACAAACCAATGAAAACATATTCACGTTCATGGATTGGAAGAAACAATATTGTGAAAATGATCATACTGTGCAAAGCAATCTACAGATTTAATGCACTGCCTATTAAAATACCTTCATCATTTTTCACAGAACTGGGAAAAGCAATTCTAAAATTCATATGGAACCAAAAAAGAGCCCGTGTAGTCAAAGCAATACCAGGCAAAAAGAAAAAATTTGAAGGCATCACATTACTGGACTTCAAATTACATTACAAGGCTATAGTTACCAAAACAGCATGGTACTGGTATAATAATAGGCGTTTAGACCAATGGAACAGAAAGGTGGACCCAGAAATAAAGTCAAATACTTACAGCCAACTGATCTTTGACAAAGCATGCAAAAACATAAATTGGGGAAAGGACACCCTATTCCATAAATGGTGCTGGGAAAGCTGGATAGCCATATGTAGAAGAATGAAACTGGATCCTCATCTCTCACCTTCTACAAAAATCAAAGGCTTAAATGTAAGACCTGAAAGCATAACAATTCTATAAGATAACCTTGGAAAAACTCTTCTGGGCATTGGCCTAGGCAAAGAATTCATGATCAAGACCACAAAAGCAAATACAACAAAACCAAAAATAAAGCAGTGGAACTTAATTAAACTAAAAAGCTTCTGCACAACAAAATAATAATAATAATAACAATAATAGCAGAGTTAACAGACAACCTATAAAGTGGGGGAAAATATTTGCAAACTATGCATCTGACAAGAGGCTAGTATCCAGAATCTACAAGGAACTCAAACAAATCAGCAAGAAAAAAAAAAAATTCCATCAAAAAGTGGGCAAAGGACACCAACAGATAATTCTCAAAAGAAGATACACAAACAGCCAAGAAACATATGAAAAAATGCACAACATCGCTAATCATCAGGGATATGCAAATTGAAACCATAATGAGATACCACCTTATTTCTACAAGAATGGCCATAATTAAAAAGTTCAAAAACAATAGATGCATGTTGTGGATGTAGTGAAAAGTGAAATGCTGATACACTGCTGTGAAATTAACACAACCTCTGTGGAAAACAGTAAGGATATTCTTCAGGGAACTGAAAGTAAAGCTACCATTCCATCCAGCAGTCTCATTACTAGGTATCCACCCAAAGGAAAAGTCATTACATGAAAAAGACAAAAGCACACACATGCTTACAGTAGCACAATTCACAACTCTAAAGATACGGAACCAACCTAAGTGCCCATTGACCAATCAGTGGATAAAGAAAATGTGGCAGATATACACCATGGAATACTACTCAGCCATAAAAAGGAATGAAGTAATGTCTTTTGCTGCAATTTGGAAGGAGCTGGAGGCCATTATTCTAAGTGAAGTAAGTCAAGAATAGAAAACAAAATACCATATATTTTCACCTATATGTGGGAGTTAAGCTGTGAGGACACAAATACATACAGAGTGATATAATGAGCTACGGAGACTTGGAGATCAAGGCTGGGAGGTGGGTAAGGGAGAAAAAACTACATACTGGGGACAGTATACACTTGGGTGATGGGTGCACTAAAACCTCAGAATTCACCACTATAGAAATCATCCATGTAACCAAACCACTTGTACGCCAAATGCTATTGAAAGAAAAAGAATTAAAGTAGACACATATCTTCACATTAACAATATATCTTTGGGAGCTTTTCTTTTCTTTTTCTCAAAATATGAGTTTTGGAATATTTGTTTTTATTTTTAATTGACAAATTTTACTTATATATATTTATAGGGTACAACATGATGTTATGATATATGTATACAATGTGGAATGATTAAGTCAATTTAATAAACATACCCATCATCTCATATACTCATCATTTTTGTGGTGAGAACTTTTGAAATTTGATCTTTTAGCAATTTTGAGAAATATATTATTATCATCTATAGTCACCATGCATGTAATAGATCTCAAAACTTATTCCTCCTGTGTAACAGAAACTTGTACCTTCTGACCAATGTCTTTCCATTCTTTCTTCCTTCCTTCTCTGGTAATCATCATTCTCTTCTTGGTTTCTATGATTTCTGTGTTAGCTATTTTAGATCTCACAGGTAATTAAAGTCACGTGCTATTTGTCTTCTTGTGCCTGACTTATTTCACTTAGCATGATGTCCTCCAGGTTCTTCCATGTTGTCACAAATGAAAGAATTTTCTTCTGTTTTTAAGGCTGAATAGCACTCCGTTCTGTATATATACCACATGGAAAATGAGTTTTGAATTACAAAAGCAATGATAAGAACAGGTTCTTCTTGCACTCAATGAGACATTACAGCTAAGACAAGGGTTATCCTTGACATTCCTGCTACCCCACCTAATCTCCCTTTCTCCAAGGGGGCCTGCAGAGATACTGATTTGTCATCTAACTGTCTGTCTGTTTATCAGTCTATCTACATATCTTTCTATCATCTCTCTCCTTTTATGCTCCATATATTTTTTGTCCTGTGGTATTTACATTTATGGACATTTCGGAACATGTTTTTTTTCCCACTTAATAGTGTGTCTGATAGCTATTTTTTCTGAGTGCTGAATAGCATTCCATGTTTTATTTGTCCCATCCCTTTCTTGAAGACACTTGTATAAACATTTCCAATCATTGTAGATATGGTCAATTTGCCTTCCAGAGTCTCTGTACTGATTTACCTTCTGGCCTGCATTGTGTGACAGGACTACTGATCCTCATTTTCTCCTTTAGTGTAGCTCTACAGTGTTCCATTCTGTGGATGTTTGTTGCAGGAAGTCAGGGACCCTGAATGGAGGTACCAGCTGGAGCCCCAGCAGAGGAACATAAATTGTGGAGATTTCATTTTAATATGGACATTTATTAGTTCCCAAATAACGCTTTTATAATTTCTTACGCCTGTCTTTAATCTCTTAATCCTGTTATCTTCATAAGGTGAGGACGTACGTCAACTCAGGATCATTGTGATAATTGTGTTAACTGTACAAATTGATTGCAAAACATGTGTGTTTGAACAATATGAAATCAGTGCACCTTGAAAAAGAACAGAATAACAGCAATTTTTAGGGAACAGGGGAAGACAACCATAAGGTTTGACTGCCTGCAGGATTGGGCAAAAAGAGCCCTATTTTTCTTCTTGCAGAGAGCCTACAAATGGACGTACAAGTAGGGAAGATATTGCTAAATTCTTTTCTTACCAAGGAATATTCATACCCTGGGAAAGGAATGCATTCCTGGGGGGAGGCCTGTAATGGCCGCTCTGGGAATGTCTGTCTTATGTGGCTGAGATAAGGACTGAGATTCACCCTGGTCTCCTACAGCACCCTCAGGCTTACTAGGGTGGGGAAAACTCTGCCCTGGTAAATTTGTGGTCAGACCAGCTCTCTGCTATCAAACCCTGTTTTCTGTTGTCTAGGATGCTTATCAAGACAATACGTGCACTGCTGAACATAGACCCTTATCAGTAGTTCTGCTTTTGCACTTTGCCTTGTGATCTTTGTTAGACCCTTATCAGTAGTTCTGCTTTTGCCCTTTGTCCTGTTCCCTCAGAATTGATCTTTGTTAGACCCTTATTAGTAGTTCTGCTTTTTGCCCTTTGAAGCATGTGATCTTTGTACCTACTTCCAGTTCTTACATCCCCTCCCCTTTTGAAATCCTTAATAAAAGCTTGCTGGTTTTGAGGCTCAGGTGGGCATCACGGTCCTACCAATATGTGATGTCACCCCTGGCAGCCCAGCTGTAAAATTCCTCTCTTTATACTGTCTCTCTTTTCTCAGCTAGCTGACACTTATGGAAAATAGAAATAACCTACATTGAAATATTGGGGGTGGGTTCCCCCAATAGATATTTATCTAAACATCTCCTCATCCATGTATATTTGGCTTGTTTCATCCTTTTGCTAAATTAAACCTCTGCAATTGGCATGTGTCTACAGTGACCATTGCTCATATGTGTAAGCATCTCTGCAGGACAAATTCCCAAAAGTGCAATTGCCGAATCAAGGACCATTTGCATTCTACAATTGTAATAATGATTGCAAATCCATTTCTATATTTGCTGAGTTTGATGGCACAAGCTTTCCGACAAATTTACCAATAGTATTATTGTATTATTAAATTTAAAATTTTTATCAGTCTTCACATTACATCTTTTAATGAGCATTTTGTTAAATAAGAGTGAGAAAGAACATCCTTTGCCCAAGTTGATAAGCCACTTATTTTCCTTCTATGGGAGTGGTCATCTTATATTTTCTGCTGTTTTTCTTTGGGTTCTTTTTTCTTATTTACTTATAAGAATGTGTACCACAATTAATGATTTTTTTCTGTCTTTTGTTGCAAAAGATTGCCTTTTGACTTTTTTGGGGGGTGCTTTGGGTTAATTTTTATGAAGTTACATTTGTCCATATTTTCTTCTGTACCACACTACCCATCTATTTCCCAGAGTTTTGTGGGGCTTCCTTTAGCAGATGGGAAGTTTTCACTTATTCACACGTCTGTCTCTGACCTTTTTAGTCATTTGAATGCCTCCTTTTTTATGGCATTGCCATACTATTTTTATTACTGTGACTTTTTTTTTCTTTTTGCTTTTTTTGAGACGGAGTCTAGCTGGAGTGCAGTAGTGCGATCTCGGCTTACCGAAACCTCCCATCTCCCGGGTTCAAGCGATTCTCCTGACTCAGTCTCCAGAATAGCTGGGATTACAGGCACTGTCCACCACGCCCAGCTAATTTTTGTATTTTTAGTAGAGACGAGGTTTCACCACGTTGGTCAGGCTGGTCTCAAACTCCTGACCTCAAGTGATTCGCTCACCTCGGCTTCCCAATACTGTGACTTTCTAATAGGTTTTAATATCTGGCAGAGTGGCTTTTTTTGTTGTTGTTAAATCAACCCTTACAAACATTTGTTGTATGGTAAAGTGTATGTTTTATTTGGATTGAGGGAAATTTATAATGAAATACAGAGATTTCATGTTTCTTTTTAAGTTTAATCCAGGTATTTTATATTATTTTGACTAGTATATTTTCTTTTATTATGTTTTCAGTTGATGGTTATTTCTACATGGTAAAACTAATGATTTATGCAAATAAATTCTGTGCCCAATGAACACAGTACATGCTAAAGATGGTGTTGTGTATCAAGAGAAAAAATATAGATAATTAAGTAAAAGTTCTTGGGACAACTGGAAAGCCTTCTGGAAAAAAGGCAACTGAACCTGGTTCTCATGTCTTATGACAAGATAACGTTCAGATTAATCATTTTTTTCTAAAAGAGTCCTAAAAGCTCTAGAAGGAACCATGAGAAAATTATTTCATAGCTCCAGAGTAGGGATAACCTTATTTTGACGTAGATCCCAGGGGCTATGAAAAAGTGATACACTGTTAAATGAGAAAACATACATGCCAGGCATGGTGGTTCATGCCTGTAATCCCAGTACTTTGTGAGGCCAAGGTGGAGAGATCACTTGAGATCAGGAGTTCAAGACCAGCCTTGTCAACATGGGGAAACCCTGTCTCTACTAAAAATTAAAAAAATTAGTTGGCTGTGGTGGTGAATGCCTGTAGTCCCAGCTACTTGGAAGGCTGAGGCAGGAGAATCGCTTGAACCTGGGAGATGGAGGTTGCAGTGAGCCAAGATTACACCACTGCACTCCAGCCTGGGTGACAGAGACTCCATCCCCCCTCCCCCCCCCCAAAAAAAAGGCTACATAATAGTGTCTATAGTAGATTCTGTGCTCCCATATAATTTTTTAAGATGCTAAAAATTAGCTCAGAAAGCATACATTAAAAAAAAATAACCTGGCAACGTGTGGGGAGAAGTAAATGGCATTGGGCCATAGAGGTGGATTATGTTTTAAAGTTCTCAAATTCTGAACCAGATAATTGTAGACAGTATTAAAATTTTAAATAGCCACTGCAAAAGAAGAAAGATTAAGCAGAGAATTCAGCTCCTTTGCTAGATCTTAAGTGTTTATAAACATTTTCCAGTGGGGCCTCTAGTGTTTTCTAACTGTAAAATCACTATCTGCCAAAATGATACATTTGCTCCCACATTTCAAATGGCATGACTCTTTTTTTCCTTTGCCTAATTGAACGTTCTGGTATCTCTAGTACCATGCTAAATAAGAGCAAAACATTGGATCTGGGTATTTTGTTTGTTACTTATTTGCATTTGAGTTTGCTTTCTTGCCACAGACAATGTTTAATTTTATGCAAATTTGTTAACCTTTTACCGCTGGCTTCTGGGTGTTTTCCTCAGAGTATTTTTAACTGCTTGGCTAAATTTTCTCTGATACTTTTCTAATTGTCTGCTTCTCTAATTGTTTTCTGCTTTTTAAAGTTCTCAAATGTTTGATCCCCATGGAGTTTATTTTGTGATAGGGAGAAAAGGTCTCATTTGGAAATAGAAAAGCTGGAGTGTTGTGTCCTCGTTCCCTTGATAATGATTGGGGCTGGGGTGTTTCCTTAGGGACGACCTGGCCCAGCTGCCCTTCCTGACCATGTGCCTGAAGGAGAGCCTGCGGTTACATCCCCCAGCTCCCTTCATTTCCCGACGCTGCGCGCAGGACGTTGTTCTCCCGGATGGCCGAGTCATCCCAAAAGGTGCCCACAGCCTCAGGGGGAGGAGCCTCCCAGGTAGGAAGATGGGCCCTTCAGGGGGTCCTCGTCGTGACTGCCCCCTTCTCTCCCACAGGCAATATCTGCGTCATCAATATTATAGCGCTCCATCACAACCCAACCGTGTGGCCGGATCCTGAGGTGCTGCCTTCCTCATTCACCACCACCCCCCCATCTACTTTTTCTTACCTTGGTTTTTTGTCAATTCCAATGTTCCTAGTGGAGGGGGCAGGGTTTTGATGAGGAAAATCCAGCATCACCTCCCCCCAACACACACATTTGTCTCTCCAACAAGGCTGCTGGACCTAGGAGACCCCACCCAGCAAACCTTTGTCTCACCTGCAGGTCTATGATCCCTTCCGCTTCGACCCAGAGAAGAGCAAGGAGAGGTCACCTTTGGCTTTTATTCCCTTCTCTGCAGGGCCCAGGTAAGAGCACCGTGTGTCTGAGGCAGGGATGGGGTGATGGGTGTGGGAGTCGAAAAAGGAGGACGTTGCAGATGGTCCCAGTTCCAGGTCTTCCCTCCATTCCTTCACAGTTTATGGGAAAACGTCCACAGAATGGGGATGAGTAGGTCCTAGAGGAGTCGCCAGAGTGCTCAAAATCCCCTTCTCCATCTGCTGGTCTGAGAGGGAGCTGGAGTCTGGCCCAGGCTCCAGGACAAGCAATCCCACATGGGGGTCCCAGGCATGCTTAGCCCCTCTCTATATCTCTCAGGCTGAGCTGGGTGTGGTTGGGGGTCCCGGACCAGGTTCCTGGAGTGATGGGACCCAAATGCGGGTCTTGGCTGCAGTCACAGTCCACTCTCCCGCCTGCAGGAACTGCATCGGACAGGCGTTCGCCATGGCGGAGATGAAGACTGTCCTGGCGCTGATGCTGCTGCACTTCCGGTTCCTGCCGGACCACACTGAGCCCCGCCGGAAGCCGGAGCTGATCCTGCGCGCCGAGGGCGGGCTTTGGCTGCGGGTGGAGCCCCTGAACACAGGCTTGCAGTGACTCTCTGATCCATCCACCTCATTTTGCAGATTCTCATGAATAAAACGGTGCTGTCACCTCTGCCTGGGCCTCACTGACTGCCAACAGGGGCCTCTTGGGGACTGGGAGGCTTCAGGGTGAGGTCTAACCTCGGTGGGTTGGGCGAGGTGTTGTCCCTGACTCCAAGACCCTGACTGCCTCTTTGGCTGAGCATAGGGCCTCCATGCCTATAGCAGGGTCTCTCAGAGCCCAAGTATGGACTTTATCCTGTGGACAATAGGAGCCATGGGAGGGTTTTGAGCAGGAGGGGGACCAGGGTTAAGAACGGATTTAAGAAGCGAGACGGAGGCTCAGTCAGTGAGAAGCAACCATGGAGGCAGATCCTTTCTTCTGGTCTGGGAGTGTCCCAAGACTGAGGTCCCTGTCCAGTTCAGAACATAGGGATAGAAGGGTGCAGCTTTTACCCTGGCAGGCTCTCAGGAATTCTCAATTTCCTTTCTTGCCAACCTCCCACCCTACGTCTCCCCTTTCCAGTTGATCACTTTTCTGACCCCCTTTCCCTAACTTCAGGCAGCTCCATTTTTTCCTCTTTTGAACCCTCTGACTCTGCCCAGGCAGCCCGTCCATCAGGTACTACCTGAATCCTCCCCCTACTATCTTCTGTTATGTGCCAGGCACTCTCACAAGTGTCAGATGTTGGGCACGTCCTCACCCTTTCACCTCTAGATTCCTCCTTCATTCCCATCACTCACCCATCTTGGGGTCAGGACTTTCCCTTTTGACCCTTGAGATTCAAAGTCAGATGATTGGAAACAAAACACCATCCCAAACGTATGGGATCTGGAGCCAGACTGTGGTGCTGAAGTCTCACATTTGCTGTGCGACTTGAGCCAATTAATTCCCCTCTATGCACTTCAGTTTCCTCAAACATATAATGCGGGCAACAACCTACCTCAGGGTTGTTCTGAAGACAAAGTTTGAGGAACTCGGAACTGTGCCTGGTGCACATTGGATGCTTAATAAATGTGGCCATTATTACCTTCTCTCTGAGAATGTCTGGCTAATAAAGCATGTTGCCTTTCGAGATAGTTTTTTTCTACCATGACTTTAAAGACTGTCTTGGAACTCATAGGCAAAAATTCTGATATTTGTGCTCCTTGAATAAGCTCCTGGTTGCCATGGTGCTTCATTGATGATAAGCACACATGCAAGTGTTGTCTAGAGTATGCAGGATAAGGCAAAAGATAGTTTTTTTTGTTTGGAATTTTATAGCATAAACATAGGTTAAAACTTCTTCCAACCGTGTCACCTTTTGACCTTGCGAGTCCATGATCTCTACTTTTCTAGAATGAAATCTCTTTCAGTGTTGACCACATTCCAGCACCAGCAGGAAGCACAGGCGAGGGCACTGTGAGTAGCATTAGAAGAGAATTCACACTGTAAAAATAATATTCATTCCTCAGTTAGTGGAACCAATGGCTATAACCAGAAAACCAAAAAAATGATGCATCCATTGGAGGCAAGGGAGTATATATCCTAGAATGACCCATTGACATTGCAGAGCAACTATGTCAAAAATGCTTGGAGGAGAGATGAGGCTATCTTATCAGAACATATTACAGACCTCTTATTAAGATATATTAAGCCCTATCACCAACCTCCTTTTTTCTCTCTTCCTCCCTTTGCCAGATTTTGCTCCAAATTCTTAGTTATTACATTTCCTGTACAGATAAAAATTTAAAGAACTCCCTTTTTACTTGACACCTACTTTCTCTCTGTCTTCCTCTCTCTGTCTCTCTCTCTTTATTCTGTCTATGTCTTTGTATCTCTCTCTGTCTTCTATCTCTGTCTCTGTATCTCTCTCTCTTTCTCCTTCTTGGTCTCTCTCTACTTTTGCATTCTGACATCCTTCACTCAACTCCACATATTAATATCCACACCCAAACTTAGGATATATCTCTCCCAAAGACAGTGAGGAACTTTATATAAGAACCAGTTTCTCTGAGGGAAGTAGTTTATTTTCCTTTGTACATTTCTTCTAATTAAAAGGATAATATTTATAAAACACTGGACACAGTGCCGATGCATAGAAAAAACTTAATGCTAGGTGGCATTTATGACTATCATGTTATTCTTACTTTTTCTTACACTAGGGGAAAATAAAATATATTTTGCCGGTCCATTCAAGAATAACCATGTTCATAAGTGCCCAGACACATCCATGTGATGATCCCCACCTGTCCATAGATAGAAAACACATTTCTAAGCACAGATAATAGGATAAAGTTCACAATGGCTCATAAACAAGAGATTGTGATCACTTGAGGCTAAGCAAAAAGGGATAAGAAACAATAGCCAGTATGTATCAAATAGATATTTTCACATACCTGAACCCTTACAACAGTCCTATGGACACAGACATTATCTTCAGCTCTTCTATTATACTTTATCACCACCAAATTGGCACTCAGGAGCTTAGAAGACAGAATTTTCTGTAAAAGTTTTTATTTATGGCATTCTTCAGCTTCTTGTTCCTTAAGCTGAAAATGATTGGGCTAAGGAAGGGGGTGAAGACAGTACAGGTGGTGGCCATCAAGGCATCACTGTACATAGAATGAAAGCCCTTGGGCTTAAGGTAGAAAAGGGAGGGAAAACTATAGTGCGTGACCACCACAGTGAGGTGGGATACACATGTGGAGAAAGTCTTGTGCCGGCCCTCAGCACAGGGAATCCTCAAGATGGCAGCCACAATGAAGACATAGGAGAGGATGATGAGTAATAAACAGCCTATCAGGGCTGTGACACACACCAGCATCACACCCATGATGACAGATGATGTCTTGTTCCCACAGGCCAACTTCAAAAGGGAAAGCACATGACAGACAAAATGGTGGATCACATTAGACCCACAGAAACTGAGGTGGAAAACTATCATTGTCACCATCATCCCCATGACTGAGCCACCAGCCCAGGTCCAGGCCACAAGACGGGCACAGTCACGGGGGCTCATGAGCACCTTGTAACGCAGTGGGTGGCAGATGGCCACATAGCGATCATAGCCCATGACCATGAGAAGGAAGGAATGAGTGAAGCCAAACATGAAGGAGAAGAACATCTGACCGGCACAAGACACAAAGGTGATGGAATGATGGGTGGAGAGCAGATCAGCCAGCATGCGAGGGGTGATGGCAACAGTGAACAGAATCTCAGAGATGGAGAGGGCACACAAGAAGAGGTACATGGGTGTGTGGAGTCTGTGTTCAATCCAGATTGTGGCCATGATGAGAAGGTTGCCCAGCAATGTGAACAGGAACATCAGGAGAACAACAGCAGGAACAAGACGGGCAGGAGCTGCTGGGGGAAGGCTGAGAAGCCAAAGAGGATAAATTCAGACATGGTGCTGTAGTTCTGACCAGGCATGGATACTGCATATGGTGAGATTAGAAACAAAATTAAATGACAGTGGTTAAAACACAGACTCTAGCACACACCAAATGGCAACTCAACAGCTCTATGCTATTCAACAACTGGCAGAATTTTCTGGGTCTCACTTTCCTCATCTGTAAAATGGAGTAAACAATAATAGTTCTTAACATTCAGCAATGTGACAAAGATCAGATGAGATCAATATATTAGATGATCAAGTCAGATTTTGGCTACTAATTGGGTTTCTATTAACACCGACTGACATAAAGGAAAGGTTCAATACTTGGAGCCATTAGAGACAGACATAGATGATCAGGGTCAGAGTCTCTTGATAGTGTGCCAGTTTTAGAAGACATGTATTTTGATCTTGGGGTTTAAAAGTTTTTTTCCTGAGAGTCTTTATCTTTTAGTTGCTTATTTAACTCAATTACCTTTATTTTAATACTGATTTATTGATACTCATTTATGCCATCCTATTTCAAATTGTATATTTGCCATTCTAAAAAATCTGAATAGAAAATTTGAAAGAAAAGGTTGGATACATACCTGTCAGACAAATATGCACCAAATGAAAGCTGAGGTTGCAATCTTAATAATAATAAAAGGCGGAATTTATGGAAACAATGATCACAATGTCTCTAATACCATATGCCACTCCAGGGAACCAGAGTTCCTTGAGACATGGCTGATCTGTGGTCTGGACACAGAAGAAAGCCTTAAACACCTTGTACCAGTGTGAAATGAAACTTCCACTAAGTAATGGGGTAATATTAAAAGCCTGGAGGTTCTAGATTGAAAAGATGCCCACTAGCCAAAAAGGATAATCATTGTACAGAAGATGGAGGAATAAGCTAAATTACACCATGAAGAAGCTTTCAGAAAAACAGAAGGATAATTCCACAGAATAATTGGTCTGGTCTCATTGATAAAGGCTCATTCAAAGGACAAGAGAAATTCGAGGACATAACCACTGGATGCAACATAGGAGACTAGTTGAATATTGATTTACATAACCAGCTGTAAGTATTTTTAAGGCAATAGAGAACATTTTGATTATAGTATGAATGAATGATTAGGTATGAGTAATATTAA